TCTACACTACAAACTTGCATTGGCTGTGCTGATGCAGCTGCGCCACTGAAATGTTTCTGGTGAAAATGCCTTAAGCCGATGGGAAAGAACTCTGCTGCTAGCTTAATAACTCCACCTCTGCCAGAGGCGGTAGTTATGTTGGCAGGAGAAGCTCTCCCACCAACATAGCGCTGTCTACTCTGGGGGGATTAAGCTTGGTATAACTACATCACTTAGGGATGTGGATTTTTCACATCCCTGAGCAATGCAGTAATACCAAAGTAAGTGTATAGTGTAGAACTGGCCTGAGGTTGGACACAAACAGACTGAGGGAGAGAGACAGCCTTAAGGAGCAGCTCAAAGCACAGTGGCTGACCCTGGAGAAAGGTTTTGGGTTGGGGTCTGTGCTGAGGCGCCTGCCTCACACTGGGATGGGCTGGCCCATATAAGAAGGGCTACAGAGCAGAACAGCTTCAGTCACTCCCTGGACCTTGAGGAGGGAGACAGATTGGTTGCCTTGCAGGCTGAAGGCAGCAAGCACCCCGGACAGAGCAGTGCTGCAGGCAGAGATCTGGGGAGCCAAAGGCAACTCCTGGCAGGTTGCAGGGATCTGCAGGCAAGGGCAAAGAGGATGCTAGGGCCACGTGGAAGTGACCAGGGAAATCAGAGGAAGCGCCGCAAGCACGGCCATCTACAGGGTCCGTGTGCCTGGACCCAGAGTAGTGGGCAGACCCGGATCCCCACCCCCGCCTCCACTCACCACTGAGGAAGTGGCTGGACTAAGGGACTGCAATACTGTCCCCTGAAAGGGGGGGAGCACAGAGTGCAGCACAGCCAGAGGGCTGTGTCATGAAGAGGATGCCGTGGTCCTGGGAGTGACATGGGTCTCTGGAGCATAAGTGACTGCGGCATGACACGACCAGAAGAGGGTGCACCAGCTAGCAGAGCTGATGCCTGATGTCACAGGGTGCAAGCTGAAAACTATTCTCTCGGTGCTGTAAGAAAAAGCAGTTTCTGGCTTTTTGATTCCTTCTGCGTTCAGAGACACAGGACTTTGTAGATTCCTTGTAAATAAACAAAATCATATCAAAAAAATAATTGGCTATCACCAATTTCTACTTCCTACTGGAACACCCCTGGGAACCAAAATTTTGACTAGGCACTGTGGTTAAAAAGGAGCAACAAATAATAAATGACAGTCCCTGTCCCAAAGAATTTACAATCTTAGCTAACCATTTCCCTGCAAATGTGGTTGGTAAGTTTGAGGCTAAAAATGAAGGGAAATGTGGGGGAATCTAGTCCCTCTCTCATTCATATTTAGGTAAAGTAATAGGTTTCACAAACAGATGTAATATATTCAAAAAGGGGGAGTTCCATATATTGAATATCTGTCTTCCAAGACCTCTACATATTCTCAGATTGATTTATGAGGCTGTTGTTGCACAACTCTTTCTAGCTCCAATTAAAGCAAGTAGGAGTGGAGTAGGTATATTGACTCAGGGTACAGCTGCTGGGAGAAGGCACAGCTTTATGACTCCACCTATTGGGAAGAGTTACGCACTTAGGGTATGTCTACACTGAAAGCTGAGAGCATGCCTCTCAGCCCGGGTAGACAGACTCACGCTTGAGTCAGCATATTAAACTTGGCTTGAGTCAGCATATTAAAAATAGCCGTGTGGATGTTGTGGCACTGATGGGGGCTCAGGATAATCCTCCAAGCTCAGATCAAAGGATTTGTGTGGGTCTGAGCTTGAACTGAGCTAGCAAGAGTCTGTCTATTCCAGATGGGAGGCACACTCCCAGCTTCAGTGAAGACATACCCATAGTGACTGTGCTGGTGATACAGGAACAGGCACTATCAAACCGAGGTTGAATAAGCAACAGGTCAGGGACATGGGAGCTGTTTGTACGGTATGTACAGGGGCTGCCATTAACAGCACAGCATTTGGTCAGTGTTTCTTACCCCACAGTATCTGAGACACTGCAGTTAAGATAATTAAGACCCTAAATGTAGAGACATACCACCGTATGTCAGATACCCTGGTGCAGAAAGTACTGGAAAACGCTGACTTTTTAATGGCAATTTCTATGGGCTCCCATCTTGTGAGAGAAGTGAGAACTCACAGGACCCTCATGGCAAACAAGAAGAGAAGATGCATTAAGAAATCTACTGAAGAGCAAAATGTTGGAGAATCCTACAGCTATGAATTTCTGTTTGTTCAAGTCTTGGGATGTCCCTAGATTGAATAAAACTTGTGCAGTAGCATCTGGCCACCATCTTTTAGCAGGTAAAGTCTCCATAATGAGTTATGAATACCCTCCCCTTCTGACTTGGAGGGTCCATTTACAATAGTGGAAAAAGCTGGCGATGCTTCTAAAGTGTTTAATGTCCTATCTCCATAGAAACTACTACTAATTCTGCATCCTTTTGCATCCAGTTGTCTGGACTGAGTGGCAGCCCATTTGTCACAGGGCACCTCTGTCGCTACCTGGTGAACCTTGCTGCCTAGCCACGTTCGATGGTTTTGCAGTCACAAATGCACACTCGGCTGTTTGTCTTTCACCACGGTGTGCATTTATTTCTCTCGGACATAACAATACCATGCAACAGGCTTAGCGCAAAGACAGGCTTCCCTACAGCTCTCGCTCCCCAGCCCAGGCTCACTCTCTGAGCTCCTCTGGAGCTGCCCCTTGCTTCCTGTTTCCTCTCCTTAGAGTCTCCCCCATTACCTTGTTAGCCCTGTGATTGTTACTCAGGTGCTCACAATCCCCACCAGAAAGTGTGGAATTGCCCTCAGCTGGGCCAGCAGCCTTCTTCTTCTCCAGGCTGTAGCAATGCCAGTGATCAGGGTGCTGCTGATAGCACCCTGTCACACCATCCACCAAGCAGTTATGTTTCTGGTTTGCTGAAAATCTACCAGACTAGTAATGAAAACCAAGAGCCCACAAGGGCAGCACATTGCATCCAGTTTCCATGTTTTAAAATGTAATTAGCTGCGTGCTGTTTAAGATCCCTGCATGATGGGAAACATTGCTCTAAATGTCTCTATATTTTGCAGATAGTTGATTGTACTCAGAGTGTCCACCAATTCTTTTTCCTTTTCACAAACCAGTTTTAAGCACATTTTGGTGTCCTATGTGTCATCTGAAATTGAATAGATACTTTTTACTGTAATGAAAATACTTATGTGCCAAGCGCAGTGATATACAACACTACACTCTAATTACCACTATGCTTTAATTAACCTGAATTGAATAGTGTTATCATTATACTGCTGGTATATTTGAGTTATATCTTTTTCTTTAATTTAAACTAGGAAACACAGATAATTAAGCCTCTAGATAATCAAATGCCTGAGTAGAGCTCAAATGTTTTGGGATGTTCCTAAATCTCATTAAATAGCCTTTCTTTATTGATTATTCTACCTCCGCTCTATCGGTGTGTTGAATGAATGATAGCTCTATGCTGAATACATTCTCTGTTACCTTTTTCTAGGAACCATATAGAAACTTGACTGGGTTTGACAAAGGTTTTGCTTGGAGATTTTGTTCCTGTAACTTGGTTCATGGGGACAGTGCATATTAGGCTTCGCTCAATACCATGTAGAATGGTAGCTTTTGTGATTTTCTGTTTAGTGCATTTGACGTAGGGGAAGACATTTTCTGATACAATTTTCAGGGTAAACAAACACTAGCTATTAATAAGCCAGTCACAAGCCCTGGAAACTAAGGGCTGGATTGTGAACCCCTTCCTCACACAAATCCCCATTGACTTGTGGTCTGGATTAGTTTAAATCTACATACGCTCAGAAATTATTTATGACCAAAGCTCCATCACTTGTTTATCATGCTGCTTCTCTCACTCATGGGTTATATTGTAAACTATGGTGATATTACTCTACATGAAAAGAAGCAAGGATGTAAAAAGAATGTCATTCTACCTTAGAGGAGAAGAGCAAGTGACTCCCTGGAAACCTGGCCCCTCCCACTCTCTCCTGGTCTCAACTGAAAGAATGGAGTCATCATGAGATTTAGGTCTGAGAGTCATCATAGTCTACTGGATAAGGCCAGAATGGACTGGGACTCAGATACCCTGAGGATCTGTTGATGCGGATCTCTTACGTAACCTTGGGCCAAGTCACTTCACCTCTCTGTGACTCTATCTCCCCTCCCACCCTGTCTGTCTTGTCTAGTTAGACTGTAAACTCTTGTCTAGTTAGACTGTAAACAGTGCTTAACACAGTGGGACCTCTTGATGTGACTCAAATAGAAAATATCATCATCATCATCATCAATAATAGAAACCTGATGGGCCTAAATTATTCTGCAAGTGTTTGGAGTGGATATGTCTGTCATTGTGGCCTTGTGCACTTTCACTTCTTTCTTACAGAGCACTTCCTGGATAGATAAAAGGTTACTCAGTCCTCAGTAGGAGTAAGGCATAAGACTGTCTTACGGACTATGCATGGCTATTCAGTCAATGCCCCACATGTTCCCCTTTCATTGTCAGATAGATCTGTTTTTGCTGGCAGAAGTTATGTTTGTTCAAAGCATTTTTCAGGCAGTTCTATGATGTGTTAAATGACTCTCTTCCTACAGTATATACAATTCCTTTACAGCCGTTCACATTAATGAATAATTTTTTTGAGATTGGGCAAGAATCAAGAGGGTGACGCTGACAAGCACCATCCAAAGAATGGGAACTATTAGAAGAAACAATTGGACACCAGTTATGAATAAATAATTCCCTTTAAACGGATTGCTGATTCATTTTTTCAAACACACTTGGCATTTAGTCTTTCGTTAATGTTTACTTAGTTCTAAGTCTCTTCTGGAAACAGACATTAAAATGTTTGGAGTACTTCCATACAGTGATTGCTTTAATGTTTATTTTACTGGATCCCATCTGAGGAGGCAATGATATTGGGATTGTAACAGAGTGGAAATGCCTCCTATGGAAACCTTTGATTTCACTTGAGAGCAGGCAAGGAATTTATGACAATTAATATATATCTACTTACTCACAAACTGCAGGGAAAGACAGACCCACAAAGGCACTAGATAGATATTCTGTATACATTTCATTTGAGACTCCTTCTAGATAGTATTTCTGCCACGTATCCTCCTCAATCTAAGAAAAAGAAACACAGATGCAGCATCGTGAATAAAAAATGCTTTCTGCAAAAATATAACCAGTGGATTTCACATGAATCAATTTTTAGTTAGTTGAATTTGGTAGCCCTAGGTTTTTTTTTTTTTTTTTTGACAATTAATACTTGGTTAGCAGGGTTCCATTGAACACCAATAAACAATGCAAAGTAAAAATTAAGTACTGGTCTACTTAGATTTCTTTGGGATTTTGTGCAAATACATTACAATAGTGGCTGAATTAAAGTTGTGGAAAGAGTTAGGCAAAAAAGTTCCTGATTTTGTTTTGTGAAAATTCTGCGAATATGTGGAAATGTTTTATAATTTGACCATGTTTGTGTAAAGTTTCGCTTGTTTTCAGAACATTTTAGTACTTGGCCAGTATTCATCAATCATCACCATAATTTCTAATGCTTTTCTTTCCCCAAACCCCCCCCATCTCGCTGCTGCATCATGAACTGTCTGAACAACTAGATCAATACAAATTTTAAAAAAGTGTGTCCATTGTTTTGGTACTGCAGTGTGAGAGAAACTTTGATACTGCACAAAAGACCTTTGACTCTTGAGAGACAAGGTGGGTGAGGTAATGTCTTTTATTGGACCAACTTCTGTTGGTGAGAGAGACAAGCTTTTGAGCTACAGAGAGCTCTTCTTTAGGTCTGGAAAAAGTACTCAGCTAAATACTAGGTGGAACAAATTTAGCATAAACAATCTATTCCGTCTTATATTTAGCTGTGACATTCTGGTTCCCTGTCCCAGACCTGAAGAAGAACTCTGTGTAGCTTGAAAACTTGTCTCTTTCACCAATAAAAGTTGTTCCAATAAAATATATTACCTCACCCTCCTTGTCTCTCTAATATTCTGGGATCAACATGGCTACAACAACATTGCAAACAACACTTTTACACTTGGACAGTTCAGTAATAAAGATAGGTGCTATGACCTGTGTCCAACAGCAGATTCTCCTAAGGAGCTCTTAAGAAGGTATGCTTTCAGGAATATTTTTAGAATTTTGGGGCCCAAATACAGTTACTCTCTGGTGGTGGTAGAGCATCCCTTCAAACTCTCTATCCCTGCTGAAATCTCAGTAGCAGAACCCACAGTCTGACCCCACATATAACGTTTGTTGGAAATGGCCTGCCATTCAAACTGAGGTTTGCCCACAGAAACTGAGAAGGGGGGCTACAGACACGGTTCCCCAAAGATGCTCCTGCAGCCTTTGGCCAAAAATAGCATGCCTTCAGTGGGAGTTGCAGGGACTCAGTGCCTCTAAAATTCAGGTCCATATGAACCAGAGAGGTGAATCAGATAACTTGGGTCTTTTTTTTTTGCACCTGGTACGCCACCTCCTCATACCTGTGTATGTAAATCATAGGCACCACTACCAAAACGTCTATTTGCATAGTTTATCACTTTCCATTAAAATATTTAAAAGTTTCAATTACAATAAGACATCCCTTCATATAATTAGTCCTTTGACTATTAGCGAATTGTGTTATCAAAAACAGAGCCTTTCATGATTGCAAGAATTACACACATGACATATCATCAACACAGTAATAATGAACAGTGAGAACATATGCTCCTTGGGGGTGAGATTAATAAGCTGTGACACAAGAGTAACCAAAATAACTTGCCAGCTACACCAGAGTAGGGGAAATGATATATGAAACATTTTTTTTGACATTGCAGCAAGTTACTGTCACTAACCGGAGGATATGCAATTGCACAATACACAAGGAAACAGAAAGTAGCAATTTCATGCCTTTTGAGAAAGGGTGGATTTAAAACTGCTGATCCAACATGCATTTTTACAGATCATGGAAACAGTTCTTTTAAACTGAGCCTGTGCCGCAAGAAAATTCTGGTCATGTTGCAATGAAACATTAATAAGCAAATATGAACACCTAACTCTATTCTTACCGGCATCCCTATTATGATATGCATCACACAGCAGAGACTATGAGAACAGAGAGATTTTCAGATGTAATGGCCAATGGGTACAGAAAAGCTTTGATATGAGATGAAGTAGAAGGCATTTTTGTGAAGCTCTTTGGCTGAGATTTTCAAAGCCACCTAGGGAATTTGGGTGGCAAGTTCTGATTGATTTTAGTAGGACTGGGATATCTAATTCCCTTAGACAGCTTTCAAAATCTCAGTATTGATTCATAAAATGTTATATTTTCTTGGGGTCCGTTACACACATGCTGCAAAGAACAATAACCCTGATTCTTTGCTACACTGAGCTGCTCATGCACAACTGAGAGGGCAGTTGCAGAGAGTTGGTTGTGACTTCCTGGTTCAGGGATGCCCAGCCCCAGTGTAAATTACAATAGGAGGGGTTCTGCTCTAATCTACATTGCTGGCACTAATAGAATAAGCTCCCTTAGCCAACCGAGGATTTGGGTTTGTGGAACTTGGCTCTGCCATGCCTTCTCCTTTCTCCCCCTTCTGCTGGAGATGGGATGGCAGGGGAACATAAATGGCATTTATACCACTTCCATCAGCTATACGTGAGCCAGATTCAATAAGATACCCAACAAGGTAAACAGCTTATCACTGCTGTAAAATATGTGATTGAAGTACTGGCCCACCATATCAAATGGCTTGACTAGAATCCAGCCAACTTGTTTTGAGACTATGTGTAAAGCTTTACACCCTGAAGGTGGTAGAGGATTGTATATTTTTAATGTAAAAAGCACTACAGTATATTTAAGAGTTTGGGGTTTTTTAAGCTGTGGCATACATTTCTGTCTTGAATATATATTCCTTATCATAATATGATTCAAGCAATGAAATTAATGCACATCAAGCGATTCAGGGAAAGATGCCAAAATTAATTTTTCAGCCATTCAGCAATCAATCAAAAGAAGAAAAGCATCCCAAGGCAACAATATATCTCTGCCTGTCATGTCAAACTACCGCTGTTTTAGAAGAGCATTAAAGCAAGAGCTTCTTGAACAAAATGCAGGCCTTTAATGAAGTCTTTCATTGTAGAGTCAAAAAGTCAAACAAGCTGGAGGTAGAAAAGACTTGTATTGAGTCCATCTCCTAGCCAATTTAGGATTGCTATCTACCATACACTGCAAATATTTTTTTTCCAGTCAAGTTTGTAATGTTCCAAGAAATGGGCTTTCCACAACTTTTCTCAGTTTAATACTTGCAATTCAGGATTTTTCCTGGATATTAATCTTAAATGTTACTTTCATGAATACAATTATATTGATCTTACCTATAACTATATGCCATATTATTCTATGCCAAACACTGCTTCTAAAATAAAAGTATAATCAGTAAAGTGTCTGCTAATTATTGATCAAAATTTTCAAACCTAGCTACCTAATGGCTGTAGGTAAACCTATATTTAGATTACATAAAAGTGGCCTGATTTTCAAAAGTCCAAATTTGTTAGGAACTGAAATGAATTCAACAGAAGTTTTCAAATGTACTACATTTACACAACAAAAATTAAAATACTGTCCATTGACACATTTGCTAATTGACCCAAATCAATGTGTAAAGCTTCAGAACATTCAAATTTCTCTTGTACTTGGTTTCAGTGGCCAAAACATTTAGAAAATACCTAATATTATCCAAAGATATTAAGTTATAGCTCTGTGGTCCTTAGTCTTATTCCAATGCCAAACACTGAAATACATAAAAATAACCTTTCAGCCATACAAAAGGGTGGTAGATACATTAAAAACCAATTCAGAAAAGGCTAGATAGTTCAATGGCCAAATAAAGTACAATTAGAGCTTATATGTTACACATAGAGATCCCATCGGTAGTACTTCATTGTGAGGTACTACAGCTGGCAGCCATGCTAAGCTAAGCTAAGCGTGGAGGCAAATGACTTGGGTCGGCCATGTCATACATATGGATAACAGTAGACTGCCTAAGAGTTCTTTAAAAAAGGCAATAGGAAGGTTGGCCATCCCAAACTCCACTACAAGGATTGCACATACAGTCTGCCGGGGTGGACTTGATGACCTGGGAGGATACAGCCCATGACAGGTGAGCTTGGCATCCTGCTACAAAGGGAGCAAAATGTGCAACAGAATATCGTTGTCCTAGTTTGACCGACAGTAGGAAGGAACGTAGACACCAACTTGCCTCAGCATGTTTCCTGAACCCTACATGTGGAAACTGATTTACAGTCATAGTCATATTCAAATACAAGTAACAGTCATTATATAGAGATTCCATGGGCAAGTTTATAAACCCAAGATGGATATGGGCACACTTTATCTCTGATTGATTCTTATTTATCTTCCCTATTTTAATATTCAGTTGTTTTTATTTTGCCTATTTAATAATCATCATACACACAAAACCACCCCCCACACCTGTACTTTTCTTGTTACAGAATGAACACTGCTGATTCTTTGTTTTTAATCTGTCGCATATAAGTATGAAAGAAGTTCTGAAATCAGAGCAACATATTGTGCCAGATCCTCAATTGGTATAAACTGGTATAGCACCATTGACTTCAGTGGAGCTGTGCACATTTGCCCAGTTGAAGATCTGACCCATTCTGTACCAAGAGAAAGGGAAGAAAATATATAGTCAGAGACAGGCTATAGACAAAAAAGTCAGAAATGAATTTCAAACTATTCAGAATTTAGAACAGGATTTCAAATAATCCAAAGTGTAGGAGTATTTCAATTCAGGGTTTTAGTTTTGGCCTGTTACAAATACAGGGGATCATTTGCAAATTCTAGATCTGGGCTTTGATTTTGAACACTCCCCAAGATTGGGTATGTGTAATCTCACAATTGTGCGTCTGTATGTAGATATATTAATAATTGTATACATTCACTAATTCATATGAATGATAATAAAAGAATATTCACCCCGACAAAGTCAGCCAAGATGCTGCAAAAACTCCTTAAATTTCTCCTTTGTCATGATGCTTATAAAAATCTTTACAATGGTTAGGTCACTGGTACCACTGCCCACCACACGGACCAACAGTATCTC